TCCTGACTAATCCCCAAGTTTTTTAGTTAACCAACTCATAACAGTGTACCAAGTATTTTACCAAGTGCACCTACTGCATTTCTGTCATCTAGTTCAGAGGATCCCAAGCTGTAGCATAGGTAGCAGCAGTGATTTATTTTTTCCTGTATACATACACAGCTGCAAACTGTTGCTGCCATCAGTTTTGGAAGATGATACAACCTGTTACCCTCGCATCATCCACTAGGAGCTACTTTTGATGAACCCATAATTATACTCTCTTGCATACAGCCCCATAGCAGCGAACTCCTGGGCACACACCAGCCCCTCTATGCAGCTCTCCTCTTAACACATCAGCACACCTGGCTGCCAGAGTGACCTGACGATAACAAAACACTGGAAAGTCCATCACAAATTAGTATCCTTACAAGCACAAATACTCAATAGTTAGCAAGAAAACTCTCAGAAAGGAAAGAACGCGTGCAAATTTGAGCCTGTGAGTGCTCCTACAGTAAAAAGATGGCACATACATCATGTTCACAGGTAGGTGCAATGTAACAAACCAGCCTGGGTTATTCAGGGAAAGTCACTGATACTTTCCTGGCCTTGTGAGCAAGCTGGAGTGGTCCTGGCTCCACGCCTCCAACTGGCATGAAGAAGAAAGTCAAAGGAAAAACTCCTGTGACATGGCCCTGTAGAGCTGATCTCACCGCCTGCCCCTGATAAGTCCCAGATGAAACTGCCTGATAGGGCATCATCCTTTTCTGTCCCACCTCCATCTGTGACTGTCTCTTTAGATCAGGAGCAGATACTAGTCTCTTGCCTTAATTTGGCTGTAATATTTGCCAATTATTTTAAGAGATGGCGACACTAACTTCTATTGATCTCATTAAAAGTAAAGGTCGTTGTGCAGCTCATTTCTCAGGGCTCAATATTACCTCCTCAGGCCAAAATAATAGCATTGATTTTGGAACCTTAATCGAAGGTTAATTGGATTGAAGAGCGTATTGGGTTTTTGCTTTCTTTCGTTGTTGTTATTACAGCCATCATCTACGGGTTTGCTTAATCCTGCTAGGGCAATCCTGCCCAATTAAACTGGTATCAAATTAGCAAAGGGTGTGGATGGAGAATAGCCACAATTTGGAGCCTGCTCTGTGGCTCTGGTCTGAAATGGCTCTGGTCCATAGCAGATTAGGATGGTCACACACAAGAGATCCGATTTCACACTCTGCTCTCTGTGATCCACTTGTGAGGATCAAAACACAGTGCTCTGTAATGCAGTACTATCACCACGCACTGATCTGGCACCGATCAGCAAGGTGATGTCTGGAAACACACAATGTCATTAAGACACAGGAATAATTTTTAGGACTCCTGGATTGTACTGCTAGAGTGCCCCATACTCTCTGTTGGGGACTGAGGAAATTATTTTCCTGCTCAGTGCCCCATCTTCCATGGCATTTAAGTGGGGAGAAATATTCTGACTCTTCTGCCCAGGGAACTGAGGGACTAACTTGATATGTTTCTACAGATTATCAAAAGGACATAGATAGAGAAGACCAGTCACTGTTTATGTAATTGTTTCTTGCATCCCTGTCAGACCCAAAATTGGGATCATTTTCCCTTGGCTTTAACTGGAGTTGTACTTCCCTGGATTTAATGTAGAGCACCTTGCTGAGACTTAAGCAATTGATCGACACTGACGCTTGAAACTGACTTTCAGTAAGAAACAGGTTTGAGTGCAATTTAACTCTTTTACCTGGTGTCTTCGTACAGTTCAGAAGCTGGACATGCTGGAGGTCACTATTCTTGCTTATCAGTGCCTTGTGAATTTTTATTAAGTTTTAGACAAGAGGAAGTGTAGGAGAACCTGCAAGCAAACCTTTCCCCAGACTAAATCAGCAGGTGCAAAGAGCAAGAATAGCCATTTTCCCCAGAAACACCATTCTTCTCCATGCTCCATTTCATCTAACACTTGAGTGTTATAAGCACAAATACTTGAGACATGAGAGGTTTCCACGCTTGCACTGACAAAGGGATTCTACCCTGGGAAATCCCACTTAAATTTTAGCAGCTACAAGGCAGCAGCTCCTGACTTTTGGCAGAAGGGTAAATCCCACACTGAAAGCATATTTCAAGTTGCAAAGCTGTCATCCATGAGAAGGTAGCTGGGCTCTTTATTGAGCTACGAGATACTATTCCAGTGCAGAACCCATTTAGTAACAGAAGGAAGCAAAAAGCCACAGTAGGATGGGGTGACAGATGGCAATAATTGCGCACAGTAGCTCATCTTAAGTACTTTAGCTGTTTGATTTCACTTCTTAGCTGGACAAAACACTTTCCTGACTTCTGAATCATCCACGGCTCATGACCAAGCTCTTAGTGAGCTGTAGTACATAGCGTCATTTCCTTTCCCTGACTCAAGTCCAAGCCAGGGCAATCATGGGGGACTCTCCACTCGGCTACTTGAGCTGGCTGGTTAGTTGGAGGCAATACAGCACATGCCACGGGTGCATCTGTAAGCTTCATGGCTCCCACAGCCTGCTCATCCAGCAGCCTGCAGAGACAGGCAGAGCATCCACAAGGAAGGACAGGGAGGACCCATGCAGCAGATCAGAGACAATATTAAGATTTGTATACAGACAAGGTCTCTCTAAATGAATCAGGTAAAATCAGAATGGGTGCAAAAGGAGCATTTGTGCCATTTGGAATCTTCTTTAATAGTCCATGCCTTAAGTAGTCATGCTATCCTTCCTTCTCTTCTGCTTACAGTATGCTACAAACATCTTGAGAGCCCCTCAGTCTTTTTCTCCTCCCTTCTCTGCTCTACCCACCTCTTCCAAATGCATCTTCCCAACCAAGACTGTAAATGCTCTTGTCTCTTGAAACAGGAATAGCCCACTTTCCAGGGTGGCCCCCTTGTTAACCCTGACATGGCTTGGTCTTCCCTCAAAATTCATGCCAGCTCATTTCTTGGTAACTCCCCTCTCCAGGCTTCCCTCCCACTGTCAATATCCCAGCTGCATGCTCATCCTCAGCTACACTTGCACATGAATAAGTAACTGTTCCACAGGCAGATATTTCAGTGTTTGCACTTGTCTTTAGAAATCAAAGCCTTCTCTGATTAAATGCCATTACAATCCAGCGCTTGGACGGATCCAGAGAGATTAATGTGCTTTTGGGCAGCTTTAATGATAATCCTGCTACAGATGGTATTAAGTAAATGTCAGTAACCTGGTTTGAAGGGAGCTTTCACCTCAGGGATCCTTTCCATTTAGAGGAGAGAGGCTCAGCTTGCTTTTCAAGGCTGCATTGTCACATGAGAAATCCTGCTTAGTGAGGACTCCTCTTCCTCCGCCCAGTATAAAAAAATGGAGTAAGATGATAGAGGAGTTGATAGATAAATAGATTGAGGTGATTTATAGGAAGCTAATGCATCTCCTGAAAGCCAGAACTGCCATATATTATAAGCCATGTCACGGTTTTGAAACCTGGGTTGCCACCCACTCCTCACGCTCCTTGCTCTGCTCCCTTTCGCTCGCTTCCCCACCAGGCTACGTAACTCTTTACCCAGGGCATCAACAGCACAGATGATCATGGACTTTGGTTGTATTTGTCCCCATCTGCTGCACCTTGCCAGAGGAGAAGTCTGGGGTGTGTACTGCTCCTACCTCATCTTACTGCGGCCATAATAACACACCTCGTTCCCCATCATGATTCTGACAGGCTGGTATTCCCTCCTTTCTACTGCTGCTTTAGTGGCAATCAGTAGAAGTTAATCATGAATTTTGGGGGTGGGGAGAGAAAAGGAAGAAAGAACAGTTCAGTGCAGACACTGAGAGAGTTTGCAGAAGCTCAGTCCTGCCACTGAACTGAGTAACATTCCATGCCTGACAGGTTGCCAGAAGCCTCTGAGGTTTAGATTTTGCAGTAGTAGAAGTCCATTAACAACTTCTTTAAAATTACATCTTAGCCATCATTTAGAGACCAGCTCAGAACCAGCAAAACACGTGGCTTCATTGCTGCATGGAGCCTACTGTGCCAAGAGGTCACAAAACAATCTTTCCAAAGGCACAGACCAAAAAAAAATGAGCTGAATTTTCACCCTGAATCTCTCTTATCATAAGAAAAAGCCTCTGCAAGTTAGAAAACTTGAAATTAGCTGCATCTTTACTTTATTTTGGCACATAGAGGCAGCAAAATATCCCACTGAAAGCCTGAAGTCATTGAATTTTCCACCTTGACTGGCTGGAGAGAGCTATGGAAGATTGCAATGAATGCTTTTCCTTGGGCTTCTCCAGAAAACTTTGCTCTCTCCAGCAGTTTGAGAAAATTCAAAGAAGCAACCAAAGTCCCAGGGAGCTACACTATGAGGGAGCTACCCTGATCTCAGAATGGATCTGCTGTCCAAGAATTGCGAGGAGGCCCAGCTCAAAATCTGTAGGTACATGTTGCTCAAGAGTCCTCCTGATTATGCATCAAAACAAGCCTTTTCTGACTATTTCAAGACTTGAGGTATAGTCAGAGTTGCATCTGAGCACTGTGGGCTCAAACCACCCAAGTCAGAATATTATGGAAAGCCCCATGGCTGAGGCTCCAGCACTCTAATAACTGTGATCATATAAGATCTATGATTTATATCATAGAAGGAGAAGAGGGAAAGAAGAGACACAAAAAATGTCAGAAGCTGAAGTTGTTCCTTTAGGATAACAGGAACTGCCATCTTGGAACAAACCACGGGTATATATAATGTAAGAGCACAGTCATCTTTCACTATCTGTCTCCTTGAAGATCTCTCCAGCTGTGTAGCCTACAGAAGAGTGTTCCCCCAAAGGGGTTACACAGTTTTCCCAAGAGCATAAGAACTGAGATCTCTCAGACTGATGGCTCTGTACACATTTGTAGGCGCTCCCTTTTCTGCCCCCTCCTGTCTTGTCGGCCTCCATTTTGCATCGTCAGCTGATGTCAACATCAGTTTTGCATTGCCCCCACACCCCATTCAGAGATGACTGAGAAACTACCTCATTGACATTGATGCCATTCTTCTCCATGTAGGCCCTGTCGTTCACCTGTCCTCCTTCCATAAATTCCATGAGAAGGACACGTCTTGTTGAGAGCTCCCAGTAGATCCTAGGGACCTGAAACAGGAACAGATGGGTTAAGTCAAACATCAGGCTGGGAAAGCAAGGAGAATACATAACCCACAACCCAGAAAAGGAGTAAAATTGGAAGAGGTTGAAGTGAGGACTTGTTTCTTTTCCTGAGCACAAGGGAGGTAAATCCATCTACCTGCCTCTTCCCCAGGACAGCAGCAATGTGTGCAAGAACGACACATAAAATCACATGGGGTTGGAAGGGACCTCTGGAGATCATCTAGTCCAATCCCCCTGCCAAAGCAGGTCCACCCAGAGCATGTTGCACAGGAACTTGTCCAGGCAGGTGTTGAATGCCCCTATTCCAGGGCTCTGCCACTCTCAAAGTAAAGAAGTTCCTCCTCATGTTTAGATGGAAGTTCTTATACTCAAGTTTGTGCCCATTTCCTCTTGTCCTATCCCTGGGCACCACTGAAAAAAGACTGGCCCCGTCCTCTTGACACCCACCCTTTAAGTATTTATAAGCATTGATCAGATCCCCCCTCAGCCTTCTCTTCTCTAGACTAAAAAGACCCAAGTCCCTCAGCCTCTCCTCATAAGGGAGATGCTCCAGGCCACTCATCATCTTTATAGCCCTCTGCTGTACCCTCTCCAGCAGTTCTCTGTCCTTCTGGAACTGGGGAGCCCAGAACTGGACCCAGTGCTCCAGATGGGGCCTCACCAGGGCAGAGTAGAGGGGCAGGATGACCTCCCTCGACATGCTGGTCACACTCGATGCACCCCAAGATGCCAATTCGATAGCAGCACGATCTCTCCTCATGCAACATTTCTGTCCATGCTCTACAAGATTTTGACCACCTCCCACTCCCACTGATGTCTGAAATTTTTCTTATCTGCTCTGCAGCTCCTCTCGCCGGGCTGTTTAACCAGTACTTATTGCAAGTTTCTGAATCATCCACTCAGCTCCTTTAGATGGGAACTGCGTTGTGTTTGCTACGCACAGGGCCCACTTATGCAGCTCTAAAAATCATAAGCCGTCGTCATAAATTGTATCTCCGCAGTGCCCCTTGGAACACAAACGCCTTTGAGCTGACAAACCCTGCATACTTAGGCCATCTGCAATTGAACTGGGAGAAAAATCAAGTGTCACAAATAAGGGGCTTGTCACAGAAACCCTGGGAGACCCTTAACTATCTTATTGCCAACATGACACAGTAACGAGTGTGAAATGTCAAAGCACTTTTCATTCAATCTGCAGTAAATCAGGCTGAGTGAGGTACCAGTAAGAGGCCCGGTGTCACCCAGGGAGGCAGTGACGCAGGCGTCACTCGGGTTGGCTCCCCCTTTTCCAGCCTCCCTCTCCAGCCAAATTCTCTCCGTGCTGAAGTTCCTACTGTCAAAGAGACATTTTGCTGGAGTTCTCTTCAGATATTCCTCACATCACTGTGCTGACCAATCTCCCAAACTGTCCAGATTTGCCTTTGCAGAAGGGTGAAGCCACACGGGTACATTTTACCAAAGATAGAAGGGAGCTCCCCCCATTCCCATTACTGCACCCCCGGACAGAAATACACATTTTTGAACTCGGAAGGACAGACCCAGCCGTGCAGCCCCCTCCCCTCACCCGCCTGACTCGGCCAGGGGCTCCGGGTGCAAGGGTCCAGCACCCTGGGGCAGGACAAGAAGAGGTAAGAGATGACACCCATCTAGTGCGACCAAAGCCAGGGAACCAGCCAGGCCACTGCAGCTCATCCTAACTCCTGAACAAGCCTCATTTGCTTTATCCTCTGCGTGTAACTACTGACAGTGCCTCAGTCCCTCACACTGTTCCTGTTCTAGAGAGACCATTTTCCCAACGTCACCCACTTCTACCTTACCGCTTCAGACCAAAGACTCCTTTGCTGAGCAATTCCAGTGTCCCTCAGTGCCCCCGTCCAATACTCCTGCCATACTTTGCATGTTAACCTTGCGTAGATTTTTACAAGCAAGGGGGATTCAATTACTTGCAGCCTTCCCAGCTTATCTGGATGTCTATTCTTTGCAGTCAGATTGGTGAGAAAGCAAACCAGCTCCAAAACAAATAGTTCCCCAGCCCATCTAGCCCCCTGAGCCCTGCTGCCTTACATCATTTCAGATGACACTCATTCTTGTCTCGAGATTTACAGGGGCAAGTCAGTGGGCTTGTAAAGCACTAACCACGCTCTCAGAGATGCCTCCCTCTCACTCACAGCCAAATTCTTCAGTGATTTTTTTAATTACTCACAGATGTTTGGCTGTAATGCTAGTGGATGGAAACAATTTATCTCTGGCTTTAAAAGCTCAAACAGGTTCACAGCACAAAATCTACTTCTCAGCTTTCTAGCGTGTTTAAGAAAATTAATGATCCAGGAGCCCAATTCTTCCGTTGCCTTTGGGTGATGAACACGTCTCTGAATTGGCAGGTCAGACGGGAGGATCCATTATTTAGCCATCTCAAGCCATTTGTTATTGTTACACATATTGATATCATGATAGCTCCTTAACCCAGTGAGGTGATTGGCCGTCTCCATGGGGATTTACTTCACAGTATCCTAGTTACAGCTGCAACGGATACAGCTCTCCAAGGTGCATCACTTCTGATAAGCGCCCACTCAGCAAAATCATTGGCCTTTGGCCTTCTGTAGCCTGGTGGCTTTTGGTTTATCTGTGTCTATAGGAAGGCCACTGCTGCCACTGGGCTCCAGACGGACTGCCTCAAACCTGGAGTCAGGTGACAAGGAACTCTAGCCCTTGCATGGAGGAAGCAAGGAAAAAATGGATGCATCAGCCTGTGAAGTCTAACAAAAACTCACCTTATTTCAGACATCTGTCTCTTCCATCTTGGGGCTTCTGCATAAACGGGAGGTGAAAACCTCATTTTCATGTGTGTATGCAGGAGGGTCCAAAGGAGGCTGCATTTTTTGCTGCCTTACGTCAGTGACTGTGCTGCAGTTACGTCAGTGACTGTGCTCACAGCACTGTGTGTGCTTGACAATACTGTGTATTTCCAGAGTGCACACAGTGGAGGCTTGTGCCTCTTCTATGTCAGCAACAGATTTGTGGACGGTGCGAGTTTGAAGACGTGAGCTTATGTCTTTCCAAGAATGAGACGTGTATACGTGTGGTTGTAATTGGGACACTCCTCAGTGACCTGAGTCAGTGTGTAGCAGGGGAGGTGGGGTAAGAATGTCAGTGGGGAAAAGCACAATATGGGTGCAGTTGAGTCTGTGTATGACTGTAACATGAATGCACTAGCCATGGATGTGTATGAAGGATGTATGTTCATCTCCAGAGTGAGAATGTGCTTTTTTTTTGCTGGAGGAAGGATTCATGCAAACATGCTTCCTCCGGAGATACACAGAGTCCCTAATCCTACTTGATATCATCACCTTCAGTCTAGCTTTTCAGTTTTATGTCCATTTCTTGCCCTCGGTTGAGACAAAGCCCAGGAAAAGGTACCATCAGATGGCTCAGCAAAGAATGGCAAATTCACAGGTCCCTGGACAAGTTCAGAAACAGTGTTTGGGAAAATGAGTAGCAGGCTCCAGAGACTGCTGGCCCCAAGCCATCACTCCTCATCCAATATAAGGTGCCTACAGTAGGAAACAGACAAGGAGGAAGCATGTCTCAGAGCAGTTTCTGGTCCGTATCAGCAAAGCAGTCTAGGATGAACAACACAGAGGGACTGAACTCTGTTCTCTCTCTGTATGGTTCCTCCAGTTGGTGAATGAGATGCACAAGACACATAAAGTGAGACTGTCAATGCACATACATACACAGAAATATGTGTTCCCTCACCTTCAGGAAGTCAAAGTCCTTGAGCATATGAGCAACCTTCTCAGCATTTCTGCCTTCATTGAGGAAATCCAGCTCCAAGGGCAGATTCTTCTTAGCTTCTTCCACCAGCCACATGAACTCAAAATCTGGAAAGATCTGCTTCACAACCAAGAGGAGAACCTGAGAACAAGGACAGAGACAATCACCTGCATCCTGGCTCCAAAGCCATGCAGCTACAAACACTGCTGTTTTGATACAATCATTCCATGTAACTTACAGACAAAAAAACTCAATCTGCACCCCAAGTGCTTGTAGGGTTCCTGCAGAATCATAATAAAACATATGGTGTCATGCCTTGGTCATGCAAGAGAAATTTTGGCTTGCCCTTCCACGCAGGCACATCTAGGAGTTAAATGATGGAACAGACACCAAAGGGAGCCCAGCTGACCTCTGCCTAGAAGTAAGAGAACAAAGCCCTGGAGAAGAGATCATAAGGCCAGATCTCATCAAGGGCATGGCCCAGGAGCAACTCTCTTCTGAGTCCTATAACTCTACAAGTCACTGTTTGGCTTCATTCGAACAACCCTCAGAAAATGCATTAGAGGAAGATCTAAAGTAGGACTTGTTCACTCCATGTTACCTGGCATCCTCTTCTTAAAGGGGTGAGGTATTCAGCTGCACAGGGCCGTGAAAAGCCCAGCCAAAAAGTTCCTGGAAATGTTTAAATTTTTAAAGCAGCATTTAAGGGCAAGCGATGGGCAGTCCTTCCTGAAGAAAATCAAGATTGTGCAATTGGATGGCATAATCAAAGCTGCACAGCAGCCAAACATTCTTTCTGTTTAAATGAAGGACCAGTTTCTCAACCAGTGTCACAAATTTACACAAGCTGACAATTTGGACCACATCTTAAGGAAAACAATTTGTTTGGCTTTTTTAAACTACCTGAGTCATAAAACAAGAATAAAACATAATAATGCAATCCGCTTTGCTGTCTTTATCTTACTTGTTCTGTACATCCATCTGAAAATGAAAACAGACTTGTCAGTGTGTGTTCCTGGACAGTTTCCCTTTCTAGATCTCCACCACTGAGGTGGGAATTCCTGCACTGCAGGAAGAAAATTTAAAGCACACACAGAAAGCTGCTATCACTGAAATGTATGACAAAAAATAAATTTATGAACCATCACTGCTCCTGTTCAGCTGTGTGAAAACGTTTGTTCTCCACCCCTCTCTCTACTTCTCTTATCTAAATGTCAGTTCCAAACTCAATGTTCCTTTAAAAATGTAATCACCAGGTTCCAGACACTATTGAATGATTTTTCTACTGTTATATCTAGAGGCATAAATCCTTTCAAATTTATGTCACCCAAATGAAATATAACCAGCGATCTTCATAAACGTATACATAAACTTTATAGGGGCTGCAGGATTATTCCATCGGTGCCTGATGTGAGAAAATTCATGCATAGTTTTTTGCTTTCTTTAAATGTTCTTTTGAATCAATTTGCCAACTTGGCCATCATCAGGGACATACTTAACAAGTATTTGGCCTGTCCCTTTTCTGACATCTGTCTAACATATTGTCTTCAAAGAAGTATTGATATAAGGAGAGCAGTGAGGTATCTCTCTCTGGATTTATCAAATGCTGTACTGATTTTTAAAGAGTCGGCACTGATGCTATGAGACCTCAAGTGAATTTAGGAATTTTCCATCATTCAGATTCCTGCCCATCAGTCTCTAACTAAGACCATCTCCATCAATATTTAAATCAACCTCCTACCTAGCTGCAATGTCTGTCTGATTCTTAAAGAACCAAAACCTCAGTGCACATAATCTGGCTTTCGTGCAGCCTACACAAAAATAGTCCCACACAAGGATACGATGGTGCATGTAAACCAAAACTCCCCAAGAGACCCTTTAAAAACGAGACTGCATGTGTCATGTTGTGAGCTACTTTAGCACATAGCTGTGTGTACACAGCAGATCTTGAGGAAGGCAAACTAGACTGCCTGTAGAGGAAGGACAATACTAAATTGCCAAGAGGAAATGCACTGTTTCACTTTCAAGTTTACTAGGAGGATTAGTCTAAGAACAAAAGAGACAGGAATAATTTTCAAATTATTTGTTTAAATTTCTCTTACCAGTATAACCAGCAATCACAGTAACATGGTGTGAGGGGGGATTTTTTCTGTAATACCTACTGTTAAAACTGCAAACGTCCCAAGGTGGATCTAGGTCTTGGCTCATTCATACACAATCCTCTCATTGCCTTGGTCTCAGTCTTTCATTACCTGCTCATCCTTCTTCCTTGACTGCTTAGTTTCTGCCAACCTGTCCTGGGCAGGAGCGAAGGACGCCTCGAGAACTGCTGTCCATGTGATGATGCACAAAAGCAAACTCACTGGGCAAACTCACTGCAATCAGTCCTGACAAGGACCTGAATGAAATCCATATCTAAAGCTGGATCCAAACCCAGTTCAAACAGTTCTCTCTTCCCAAACTAGCACTGAAACAGACATATCCCATCTTACTGGGATATCTGTATTGAACCCAAAAATTTCTTTCACTATGAGTTTCAAAATAAATATTAATCTGCAAACTGATGTACTTCAGCTGGAACCAGCTGTGCTTCTTTGCAGACTAGCCAGGATTGCTCAAAGCAGGGTGTTTTAGCTGCCTAAGAAGCTTTAGTTATGTGCTCCTCTGAGAGGTTGCTGGCAGGAACTTTGATTCTTGATCTCCTGTGATGGAGAACTGTGTGTCACTGCATCAGCAGTACCCTCTAAAAACTTATCAGACCATCTCAGCCTAATCTTCCTCTCTTCAGTCCCATGGATACAACTGCCAATGGATATGCACATTACTGTACTGTACATACAGATATATGCTTATTAGAAGAGCTAAAAATTTAGCACTACCATTTACAGACCTAACCCTTTCGCTCTCCTTGAGCTCAGTCCCATCTCCATTTTCTGTTCCCCACCATACTGCTGGCATCTTTGACTACTGCAATGGAGTTCAGTGCCACAGCTTTTCTCCAGCTCCTCCCTTCAATGGGCTAGACTTAGAAGTCTGGGAGAAGATACAGCATTGCACGGGGAATGGGAGTTCAGGAGAGGAATGGGAGACAAGCACTGACACTTTTTTCCTAGCTGAATCCCTCACTTGCATGTCTGCCCCTGTTAGGTGACCCTCTCCATATTTCAGTGGCTTTGTTTTCAGCATTAATCAGCTCAGCATTAAGGAGCTGACCAAGAAACAAAACTAAATCACAGCAACCTCAGCCACTGTTGAATCCACACTGGAATTTACCTGAAATAAAACCTGTGCTAATCATGGAGAACGATTTTTCTTTGGCCCCACAGCCCTAACTGCAAGGGGAACTGAGACCAGTTTAATCAACCAGTTAACGGGCACACAGGCTCTAGTTTTTAAATGTTACTCTGATGTCATCCATGTTGACCTGTCTTCTCCTTCTGCTCTCCTTCGCTCTTGTTCAGTCTCTCTGTCCACACAATCGCCCACACTGCAATCCTCACCAACTTGCTGTATTATTCCCTTAAGACAGCATTTATCTCTGTGGAGGTTTCAGAGCCAGGGGATGGTGTTGCTATTCCTGCTTACACCAAGCATGAGTGTGGCCCCCACATGTTTCAAAGGCAATTGCTCTGTAAGTCAAAGTCAACAGGTAGTTTTACCTCCATGAGTAAAATATCCTTGGAGCTCTGAGCTTGGACCTTCGGGTGCTGGATTTTCACTGCCACTGTTCTCCCATCCTGCAGCACTGCCTTGTGCACCTGGGCTAGTGATGCTGCTCCCAAGGGAGTGTCCTCAAAACTCACAAAGAGCTCTTTGATCTGTCGAGAGAAGAGAAAGAGACATCAGCTTGGGGTGCCAGAGACTGTCCTAAGGAAAGCCCTGTCCACAGGCCAGAGACAACGCATGCCAAAGTTGGGCAGGCTCAGCCCTTTCATCCTTCCTCTGTCCCCTGCCTGAGCCTTGTCACTGCTTGGCCTCCCAGTGAAGCATGCCAGGCGCAGAAGTGCCCTGGAGACACTGCTTACGGAAACCTGTGGCAGAGCAGCACATTTCACCTAGGGCATGGAGCGGCCAGAAGCATGTGAGGGGCCCCTCCAAGCTGTCCTGAGAATGGGTTGGAGCAATTATGGTCAACATCCGTCATTGCTACTGGGTGTGGGTGCAGAAGCCAACAGCTGTCCCTTTGCATGTATTTCTTTTCCATATTTTTATAATCATAGAATCATCTAGGTTGGAAGGGACGTTCAAGATCATCTAGTCCAACCATCAACCCAACTCTGACAAAAAAACCTCAGACTAGACTAAGGAAAGTTGCAGATGAAGAAGTAGATTTACCAGGGCAATGTCCAGGAAGCAAAAACCTAGACAGACATGGGTGAGGCAATGGGAGATGGGCAAAGGCCCATCTGCCCTGCACAATACAGCACCCTGCTAGAGACCCTCAGTGCAGCACCAGGCAGCCCAGGCCCTGGAAACGCTATTACCATGGTAGTGTGACACCAGTCTGGCTGATTAGCCAGGCCCCTCTGCACAGTTAATTAGCTGAGAGGGGGTGTCAACACGGTTGTGTGGCTTCAGGCATGGAGCTAGTTCATCTAATGCTAGCTGAGGGTTTCTGTCCTGTTTTGTTGAGCGAGGTGCAGGCAAGCTCTGAGGCATCCAGAAGGAAAGGGAATGTGTCCCACCCTTCCCACAGGCTGGACTGATTTCAGGTGAGCAGTTGAGAAGCCTGTAATTTATGCAGTAACAGAAATAATGTCAGTGCATTTTTGTAACCTGCTTTTTAAAAGGTAATTAAAGATGGGAGCTGCAGCGAGCTAGTAATTAAATATGAATAAAGACCTTCTAAGCAAAGTCTTCATGCAAAGCGTTAAACGAGTATTCTTTTTGCTGACAAGGAAGAAAAATACTATACAAGGAGCAGCCTGTTCCCTCCTGCAGCTGCCAGGGAATAAGCCCCCTCCCACACCACCCTACCCCTTCTCTCCCAGCCCCTTCCACAGAAAACTATTGCTAGCAAAAAAACTGGAGCATTTGCAGCAATTAGATTCCAACAGAGACTCAGCTGCCTCCAGTAATTCACTAGGAAGGTGCATTTTATTTATTTATTAAATTCCCTTTGGTCCTGGTGGTAAAATCAATTAAGTAAAACAACTGCATTTAAAAACAACTAGTTACATGTTTTTTTAATTACACTGGGTCCATAATTCAAACCTATTGACATTTGTGTCTCCAGACAAAAAAAAGGTTTTTCTCTCTTTCCCTCCTGCCCTTTCTTTTCTCTCTCACTTGTGGATTGAGATTTTCATTTCAGATTAGTATAAAGAAAGAAGCATCTACAGGATGACAGAAGGCTCAGGGGACATGTGTTCAAGACACAGGGGCTTCTACCTTTATGTGAAGTTTGTCATTCAGCTGAAGAGAGGACCTGTTAAGGGGAAGAGACTTAAGGTGGCCAGGAGCATGTTGGGCTATAAGATTCTGTAAGGAAAGAAAAAATGCAAACAGAGAACTTGCCACATGAGGTCGAGCTGGGGCTTTCTTCAACTCCTTACCCTACATGCTCATATTAAAGGGATGCACCCTTTACAGAGCAGCAGCCAATCTTACCAGCCAAACTGTCATAAGGGTAGAAACACCCTCCAAAGGTTAAAGCACAGAATTGGGAGTTCACTGGCTTGAATCCAGTAAGGTACATTTATAGTAAGACCACATATAAATTGGATAAAATTCCACCTGCTCTGAATTTCAAAAGCTCTTAATTGCCTACGCTGTCAATCCAACCATTTCCACCAGTACTGAACGCATGCAGGGGGAAAAAAAAAAAGCTGCACACGTTCCCTCTGGCAGGAATAATACATACAATATTCTAGTGCGACTAAGTTTTTAAGGAAACATCATTTGAAGAAAGCTGCCTCTAGGAGTTCTTTTGGGCAGAAGGATTTAATTTAAAAACTCACTATTTAAGGTACGAAAGCCAGGTTAGCGGTCGTGTCTGTTGGAGCCAGCCCAGCAGCCCCACTGCAATTCCAGGGGGAATTTGTGTGCACCCACAGGCTGCAGGCGAGGGCAGGAAGGCGAGGGACTGCGGCGAGGGCAGAGAATTGATGGCTCCTCCAGGAGCAGAAGGGTAGAGCGTGCACACAGGGGAGGGAGCGGATCACAGCCAGGCCATTACATGAGCAGGTGTGAGGCTGAGATAAAGCAGCAGCACAATTACGGCTGGGCTCCAGGACCCCCCACTTAGCAAATCACCCTCATTCATTATGAAATTGTCCTTTCACAGCTCGCTGGAGGCAGCTAGCGGCTCAGACGCAGGCTGTGTGTCCCAGACAGGCAAAAGCGAGGGAGAGACTGTATGCCATGGAAGCAGAGAAGAGGTGAACCAAGCTCCCACACGAGAGAGCAGGGAACAGGGTCCTTCCCAAGGAAAGGTGCCTGCACCCATTTCACGCAGGGTTGGAGCAGGCTGCAGGCTCTCACTGCTCACAAGCACCCTCAACAAAATCTCTAACCGCCACTTTCAGGATGGATAATTAGCAAGCGAAGGTCTGGGACAGTCTGAGAGCCCACCTGACATGGTATTTAGGGAACTCTCAAACTTCTTTCAGGCCACAGTGGGTCTCAAAGGGCTTTATCAAACCAGCTGTTACCATCTGTAATCCTGGCAGGACATGCTACAAAAGCGTAGTTTCCAGCCAGGTTTAATAGAGGTTTAAAAGCGAGAAAAGGAACTTTAGGGCTGTTCTTCTGAACAGGAGCAGGACAGCCAGCTGCAGGTTTACAGCTGTACACGTGAGTGGGGTCCTTGGCCACGGTGGTTAGCCGTGGTGGTAGCCCTCTGCACAGCCAGCTCCCCATCGGGCACGTGCTCAAACAGCAAATGAGTGTGTCACTGTTTGGACACTGGCTGGAAACACAGCCCTGACTGCTTCATTCTAAAGAATGAAGGTCGTTTCATTTTAAATATGCAAAATATTTTCACAATTGTTGGTATTAGTATTCACACCTCAGGGAGCTGATATAAAAGCTCTTACAGGTTCTATCTACTTAGACACTTATTAGTATGTATTTGTGCTGAGGTGGCACCTAGAGACCCTCATCAAGCCCAGAGTGCCATTGGAGGAGGTGCACAGCAACCACAGTCCTTGCACAAATTCATGCTTTCCGGGAGTCCCCAGTTGTCACCTACAGGCCTCCTCAGATGCTGAAGTGCCTTCCCAAAGCACACAGTGCTCTGCACGAGGTCTGTGGCGCACGTCAGCCGATGCCGCAATGCTGAGCATCAGAATGCCTCAGTATTTTTTGCGAATCCCGTCCTTAAACACTTAGGAAGTTACTGGAAGTCAATTGGATTTAAATCCCAAATCCTGAGTCCTTTCAGAAAGTATTACCTTACACGACCTGCCCAGCATGTTCTGAGAAATCTTTGACAGCGCTGGGATTTAACCCAGATAGCCCAAGTTCCAGCCTGATGTCTTAATCTCCAAACCATAAACGCTAAATGTGCGTGTCTTGCCAGCTAATTTCTTTTGAAATACACTGCCTCTTAATCCCAACCTTTTTATATCCATGTGCTGCAGCAAATGATCAAAAACTACTGCCTGGTTTCAACCTGCCCACTCTGCAGAGAGGTATGTTCCCTTCCCTCTCCAGAAAGACTTCTAACAAGGTACCCTGGAGCAGGAGCCTAAGTCATGGAGACCCTTCCTGACCCAGCAGTATATAACATCATCCCGAGTGGGATGTGGTGGCTCTGTTCTGCCACATTTGGCAGATGAAAGGTGGCCATGTATCAGCAGCCTGTTCAGGACAAATTTAGGGTGCAGTGGGATGCAGGATCACTAACAGAAGGTGTCTCAGCAGCCCACCCCTGTTTAGCTGGCAGGCTGAACCCCTTCCAGCATAATGCTCCAAACCCCTCTATGTGGTGCAGCCAGACCGAGGCCACTATAGGGTCCAAGTAAGAATATTTTGCATTAGAAGTCCTATCCAGGAGGTTTTCAGCAGAGTCCAGGACAATTTTGACAATTCTCCTTTTCCATAACCACTTACAAAGAACCTTTCCTCAACTCTGCCAGATCTGAACCAGTCCAGCACAGGTGGTGTCAGTGAGGAGACTTTCAAATGGTCAGCATTTCACAGGGCAAGAGAGTCCTTCACCAAAGCATTTCAAAACTGCCTTCAAATATTTCCCAGGACTTCAAAGGACTCTTCAGCCTGGAAAGAGAGACAATGGGGAGGGAATGTCACAGAGCTCTATAAAAATCACTTCTGTCTCAGCAAATGGGATTGGGAATGCTCATTCCCTCTATAGAAGAACTCAAGAGCAGCAAATTGTCAATTAGCACACAAGATTACCAGATGGCAGGATTAAAACAAGCAAAAAGAAGTCTTTTTCCCCCCACCAATTAAGCTGTGGTACTCATTGCCACAGGATGTTATTAATATCAGAAGTCCAGGTGGGTACATAAGACAACGAAGAAAATCCATCACAGGTTATTAAGAACCAAGATACCATCGCTGGCTCAGGAAACCTCTAACTTTCAGATTACTGGAAGTAAGTATCTCCAGACACCTCACTGTGCTCCACAGCTTCACCAATAGCAGATGCTCAAAATAATTCACAAAAAGGGGCCCAACAGGGATGATTCTACTCTCTTATCACCAAAAAGCAATGAAAACCGAAACATTTAAAACCTCGACCGAAATTTCACAGCAGATCTCCTCTTCTGATCACAGCACACTGTAATTGCTCCTGAGCCTTGCATTTTGTATTTGGAGATAGGAATCTATGAGATGTCCTGCTATTTCAGAA